TTAAGGATTGCTGTATATACCCTGAGAAGGCTTTTTTGTTTTGGTTTTAATCAAAGTTTTTATAATTCTGTTTCTCTCTTCATAGATTTCTCTTGCAGGAGAGAGTCTTCACCCACACCATTCCCCAAGACGAGTGTATACCCTGGTATGGGTGAGACCAACCCACTGGATAGCAATAGCTATCGACCCCCTCGGCCAGGTTTCGTCGCGCCCCCTCCCAACTACAGCCTGGCCCCAGGGGGAGCGAAACCCACCTGCAGCTGGCTATGGGCAGCCTGGCTTCACCCAGGCAGGCCAGGGTTTCGCCCCTGGTCCCTTCACTCAGGGGCCTTACCAGCAAGGACCCACACAGCCCAGCTTTCCTGGAGACTCCATTCGTGAGTAGTTAAACTGAGGATTGGAGGCATTTATGAATAGACTTGGCCTTTTTTTCCCCAGGTGACCTTGTTTTTATTATTTGATACCTCAATGTGTAACATGTCTAAATAGTGGGATTGTACCTCATGTAATTTGACTCTGCATGTGCTTTGTTTTCAGTTACTTTGTGACAGAACTATTTTGCGCAGACTTAATCAATGAGATGATACAGTCACTGTGCTGAAAACGCCACAGACAAGCATGTTTGTTTAACCTAGTGTATGCCAGTTTTAACCCTTAATGTCAGCCTGATGTTGTTGTTCATCAGCACCTGCCAGCAGCCCTGGTTATCACGCTGATGGGCTTCCATCTTACTATGACAACGAGTTCACCACCTCTGGCTTTGAAGACAAGAACATCCGACAAGCCTTCATCCAAAAAGTAGGTCTTTTTCCATGTCAATCAGTTTGAGTTTGAGTCTAATAAGTAAGCAAATATATCATGTAATATATCCGTCATTTGTATGAAATGCCACCAAAGCATACATTTCTTCTTAAAAACTGTTCTCTTCTTCACTACCATGGTTCTCACCATGCAGCTGCTGGTCACTTTCTCCATTGTTGCCATCTTCACCTTTGTCCATGAGGCCAAGTACTTTGTGCGACGTCATCCATGGACATACTATGTGTCCTATGCAGTCTTCTTCATAGTCCTAATTGTCCTCAGCTGCTGTGGAGACTTTTGCCGCAAGCACCTCTGGAACTTGGTTGCACTGGTAAGAACCTGCCCTAACACCGAATAATAATGTGTGGAATACCCATTGTGAAAGTCTGTAAAATAAATGACAGGTTCAGGCTTTGTGGACATATACACAGTGTGTACCATAGCACTACACAGTGGTTTGAATTGTCAGACAAAACATATTCAAAGCTGCAGTGTGCAATACCTTTTAAATATATCTATATGAAAAACTGCATGTATAGTTCTGTATTTATAAGTACTTTATTTTTATTTTCCTAATGCACATTCCTTTTTCTTTGTACTTTTTTCTTTTTTTGTGCTCAGTCCTATCTAGTTTACTTGTCGTCTTATGGAAGAGCATTGCACATGCACATTAAGAGCCACAGTACCAGAGTCAAATTCCTTATGTGTCCAGCACACTGGCCAGTAAAGCTGATTCTGACATCCAACAGGTGCTGCATTAATTAATAGTGTCAAATTAAAGAACACAAAGTAGCTAATGTATGAGCCTTTAAGTGAGGGTGAAGGTATTTTTACCCTAGTGTTGTTTTGAGCATTCAAGTTACCTAGCTTGGTGCGAGATACTTGGCATGAATGTAAACCACAGAGCGCCACAGTCATGGCATCACATTCAGGCTAGTTTCTGTTCTGTTAACTCCACTTACTCATCTGTTCAACATTTGTCATGTTTCTCTTGATTTCAGATCGCCAACAATTACAGCAGTTGAAACCTTCATAAGTTTAAAGTTAATCAAAAATGTTGTTTTAGCATCAGAAGAACTACAACTCCACAAGGAGTAATTACTCTTATCACAACATGTCAAACGAACCAATTCTGATCGAGGTTACATTGCTCCTGAAAAGGGTGTTTTGAAATAGTCATCTGAATTTAAAGCATGTGAAGTGTGTTATGAGTGATGGTAATGCGACTGTGTGTTTTCTCTGCAGTCCATCCTGACCCTGTCCCTCTGCTACATGGTGGGCATGATTGCCAGTTTCTATAACACAGAGACTGTCATAGCTGTGGGTATCACTGCAGTGGTCTGCTTCACTGTCGTCCTGTTCTCACTGCAGGTCAGCACTCACCACGAGCCGCTTGAATAAACATATTCAAATGCTCTACATGCAAACAGACAAATATAGTCTGTCTGGTTCTGTGTTGAGTTGTTAGGGAGGCAAAAGTGAGGATTGGTTTTACAATGATGTGCTCAACCCAGTCCATCTCACATACTTCCCACTGAAGATGCACTCTTAAACTGGGATGTCTTTATCTTATTGTTAAATTAATTTGAAATAAGGAATGTTCACAACACTGTCTTTGAGGTTCATAAATTATCAAGACTGCATTTGAATTGCATTTTCATAAGTGCTATAGAGTGGTGTGTCTCATGTCTTATCACAGCTCATATTTTCTAACATTTTGCTTTCTGAGTCTTTCTTCTTTTTCCCACTTTACAACAGAGCAAGTATGACTTTACTTCCTGTTGGGGCGTGCTCTTTGTGTGCTTGATTGTGCTGTTGCTCTTCTCCATCCTCGGCCACAAGATCCTACACATCGTCTATGCCTCACTGGGGGCCCTGCTTTTCACCTGCGCAAGTATCATACTCAAGTACCATTCTTTAAAAAAGAAGTGGCCTTAGACAGTATAAAGATATGCAGTATTTGGTGGATTTTGAAATAGTCATTTCATATCTCAAGCGTTTTTTTTTTTCCAAAGTCTAATACCATTCTTGTTCCTTCTATGCAGTTTTTGGCGGTTGACACTCAGCTCCTCCTGGGCAACAAGAAGCTGTCCCTGAGTCCAGAGGAGTACATTTTTGCTGCCCTGAACCTCTACACCGACATCATCAACATCTTCCTCTACATCCTGGCTATTGTGGGACGTTCCCGTGAATGAGGCTGCACCTTGGAGAGAACAGCAGGGAGATAGAGAATGCCTCCCTTTATCATGAAATGTTGCTAACATGCCCTTTTCTCTATACTGTTTAGTATTGATGAAAACCAGCTTTGTCTGATTAAAAAGACATTTGTGTTAGAAATACCCTACTTTAATCTGTCCTTTTTTCAAACTGCTGGTGTAAAATAACTGCATGGCAACATTAGAAACCCAACAATGTATTATGATTGGAGGTGGTGTGGCCTTGTACGTAGATAAAAACTTTTGTTATAATAGAGTGGAGAAAATGTCAAGGGTAGTAGATAATTTGCTGGAGTGTGTGACTGTAGAAATGCTGGTGGGGAAAAAAAGAAGAATGTTGTATGTAATAAGCTGTATTTATAGAGCACCTGGAGCCAGCATAGAAAAATTTAATGAGTGGATGGAGGAGAATTACTCGACAATAAGTCATAAATTAATGTTCATATGTGGTGACTTCAATATAGATTTGTTACATCCTAACAAGCACACAGGAACTGAGGAGTTTATTAAATACATTCAAGAACAATAACATTACAATGTTCATCAGTCTATCAGATGTGTTTTATGCTGTTTGAAAGGGCAGCGTCTCCTAAAAGCGACCAGACGTCCTTCCATTGTGCTGTTTGGACTTTGGTTATAGATGAGTAGCAGGTAGTGATGGGTCCGGCAACACCGATGCGTCGCCACATGCGTCGAGCTCAAAACCCCTTGTCGGTGCGCGTATCGCGTTGAGAAAGTCACGTGACCGATACAGGAACTGTTTCAAACTGACACTGCCGCGCCAAACTGTGTTTATAAGGAAGCGCATATGTCAACGGGATGCATTTGCCTAAACTAATCTCTGATTTTTTGCGCTTCATCGTCACATTCATCAAGAATTATGGCGCAGCCTCAAGCCAAAAGAAAGGTTTCCGCCGTGTGGGACCATTTTGCTCTCATCTCATATCGGAAAATAAGGTATTTGTTTTAATTTCCTTGTTGCTTCATCCCGTTCCTCTGTTTCCACTTGATCTATCTGAATTCAAATTCAATTGAAAGTGACTCTGAGTTTACTATTCATATGATTTTCCGCAGGTTAAATGTCGCATTTGTTCGACAGAACTTTCCTACTTAAATAAATCCACCTCCTCAATGCTGAGGCATTATAGGGCCAGGCATGAGAGTGAAGTCCCAGATACAACCAGGATAAACTCAGGTATACAGCCATTCTACAACTCGTCCTCTCCTGTTTTTGTACAGTGGGATGGTCTAGCTTGATTTTTGAGTGTGAATTAAAAGACTTGACAAGATTGGGAATTAACCCCCAGTACGAGACCGGACCAAAATTGTTTGATCTAGAAGCTTGTCTCGTAGATCTGTCAAGTTGACCGATGGAGTCATTCACACACTAAGTCAAGGGGAACATATATTAATAAAAAGAACTTGTATTTTTGACCTTGTATTGTGGAGTAATGGAGGGAGAATTTGACAATGAACTTGGTAGAAGTGAGTTACAGGAGGAAGAAAGTATCAGAGAATGGTGGAATGACATTAAAACACAACTTGACAGTGGTATGAAGGAGTCAGAGAAGCAAAAAAGGTGAAACGATATGAGACATTTTTTTCAGAAAACTACAGAAAGATGATAGGGTGCCAAGAGATGGCAGTAAGGAAAAGTTATTGCTTCTGTTGAGCAGGGTAGAGAAAGAGGAAGTGCAAAGTATGATGTAATAGGGCAGAGTAACAGATGGAGAGTGAACAGGAAGGTGTGCAAGAGAGACTTTTGGAGGCTGTAAAGGCGCTCCAGCTAATATGAGTGATTTATTTGGGTTTTAAAACAAGTTGCAGT